ATGTCAATTAGTCAATTTAATTTAAAATTAATAAACAAAAAATATAAATTGATAATGTTGTTTAAACAAAATTTAAAATTGTTGTTACATTTTATTTTTTTTGTGTACGCCAAAATGCTTGTATAAATTTAAAAACACGTTATTTTTTCATATATAACAAAAGAATTAGCAACAACATCAATAGACAACACGTAAATGAGTAATTGTGAATAATCAGTTAAAAATGAAATGCGTTTACAAAAAGATGTGTTTGTGTGTTCAGATGGTCTAATTTTGTGATTTTTCACAATAAAACTAAAATAGGACACAGTTAAATGATAAAAACTAAAACAATTTTTTTAAAACTAAATGTAGTAGTTGTGCTAAATTCCTTTTTTAATAAAACTGTCCTTGCTGACAGTTGTTTATCCGTTCAATCATCGTTTTAATTGGCCGCCGACGCCGATGACGACGACGATGAAGGTTGATGGGAGTTTGATGATGATGAACCGCCATCACCACCAGCGCCATTTTCTCCACCTCCACGACTGTTACCAGCAGTGTTACCGTTACCGGTACCAGCGGCAGTGTTCTGCCCATCCGAAGCGACCATCGTCGACAAATGGACAATTTGCGCCGACTTCATGTTCATGAAGTTGATGAACTGACGGCGCTCACTTGGCGGCATTACCTTTTTGCAAAAAAAATGATGGCGGTTAAGTTTTTGTAGATATTCTCTATAAAAAAAACTGCTTACCATAACCTGGTCAAAGGTCAGCTTGACGACCTCACCGTAATTTCTGTTAAAAACGATAAAAAATGTAAAATTAAACAGCATTTGCGACTGCGTGCCTCTTCTACTTCAACAAATATAAAATAAATTTTGATAAACTTCTAAATTCATGCACACTTACGTAGTGGCGTAAAAGTCCTTTGTATTGACGTCCATTGCCAGAACTTCCTCGATGCGTTGCTCCTCAATTTCGCCTCTAATGCGAAACGTTTCCATCATATCCTTGTCTCTGTCCACCTTTGGCTGAAGTGAATTGAGCACCATTTTTTTAATTTTTGCGTTTACAGTATTAGTGTACAGTAGGGCAATATTAGTGCTGGTGCTGGTGATTAATGGGCAGACTAAATTTACAGGGAAAACAAAACAAAAGAATTTGCGTTTAAAATTCAGTACGACAAAAACATTTATTGGAAACGCGTTTTGCCTGCGTAAATGTGTGCTCTTGAAAACGCACTCAAATTGTCTTTTTTAAATGCTGCTGCCGTTGCTGTCCGCCACTCTATTGAGTGGCAGTCAAATTCAATTGTCAAGTGAAGATAGAAAATAAAGAGAAATTATAATAGAGAAAACGAAAAAGAACAACTGCTTCTGCTTCTGCTTTTTCTGCCGTTAAGTTGAAAACGGAAAGGAAATTGTGGCGACCGTACGGTGGAAGAGTTTGGCGTCAAATGCAGTGGAACAGCCCCGACGATACACACACACTCACATTTTCCGACAGTAGTCTTTTGCGGGCTGCAGTGGAACTTTCACCGGGTTTGAAAAAGAGAAAAGTGTAAGTGTGTGTAGTTTTGTGTTAGTGTCGACTGCTTTTCTTTTTCTCTCTCTTTACTTTATCGACAACGTTTTTGTTTTTTCTTCTACTTTTTTCACTTTTCTCCCACTTTTGCCAACTGAATACTTCTTCTGGTCCTGTTAGTCACTCCTTAAATTTGCTTGACGGTACTTTGCAAAAAGGCTTTTCTATTGCTGCCGCTGGTGTTGTTTGCATTTTCCTTAATGTGTGTAGAACAGAGTTGGAACTGTTTTGATAAAAAAAATGCCATCTTGGCACTGTCAGCCGTTTAAACTGCTTAGGACAGTTGCTGCTACTGTTTCTGCTGTTAGTTAGTTAGTGTAGGCTGGGGCAACCATTGACAGAGACCGTTTTTGAATAGCACTACAAGGAAAACTAAAAAAACAAATTTTTTGTGCAAGCCAATCGAGTTGAGCCGTTCATTTGCTGCCTTGGCACTAGAATAAAACGACAATGAAACAGTGCCAGTTAAAGAAAGAGAAAAATTGTCTTAATCAGTAGAAATGACAAAAATACTAAGAAACAAAATGATTCCAATACAAACAAAATGTATTAACGGTGTAGGTTCACAACAGCACACACAAAACAAAACTTAAAAAAATTATAACTGTGTCCTATATTTCCGTTTGTTTTAAAAATCAGAAAAATATATAAAAATTGANATTAACGGTGTAGGTTCACAACAGCACACACAAAACAAAACTTAAAAAAAATTATAACTGTGTCCTATATTTCCGTTTGTTTTAAAAATCAGAAAAATATATAAAAATTGAAAACAGATAAAACATTTGAGCAACAGCCAAATAATTGTCGGTAACAATGACATATATTTTCAATTTTTTCATTTTTGAAATATTCAAAAACCGCTTTAATATAAAAGTTTTTACTTTGCAATCTCATAATGTATGACTTAAAGCTATTTGCCAAATATTTAATTCATAAAGTCACAAATGCAAATTTTAATAAAAACTTTTAAAAGTAGGCAAATTCACTATAATTAGGTAGCTGCTGGGTAAACGTTGTATTTGGTTTTTACTGCAACCAAAATAGATGAGCAAAATAATAATTGCGCACTGTACACGACGTGAAAAGAAATAAAATGAGTTAACAGCATAAAAAACTTTTCAAATATTAATTTTGAAAACCTAGCAGTTGTTGTGGCGGCACATTTGCTGCTGGGAATTAATTACCAGGATTGCCTAGACACATTAAAAAGCAAGCACCCTAGCTCACTGTACCCTTTTCACTCATTATACAAGAATTGTCTAAATCAGCACTAGCCATTTTATTTTACTATTAAAATACAAACTTTGATTTGGAAACTGGATTTTACTTTTAATTACTAATTAGTAGTTGCAGTTCCTAGCAGGGTTTTAATTACTGTTACCAGTGCCGGCCCACACTTGCAACAGCAGCAAACTGGCATTAATGTATGTGTGTGTATGTGCGTGTTTGTACAGCGCCATTTCACAGTATTTCAGTGCGTCACTGCCACTGCCACGGCCACCAAACAGTTCTTGAACTTTGATGGTGTTTGTCTGTCTGTGTCGGTTTGTGTATAAAACACTGGAGAAGAACACTGCCACTGCCGATAACGGCAAATGCTGACCGTTTGCTGGTAATGTCAATTGCAGCTGCATTGGCTAATCAGCGGCCAAAAGTGTGCGTGTGTGCGTGTGTAGGCGCTGAATGCGCCAAACAGAAGGAGAGGACACCCTAGGGAAAAAGAAAAGGCAGCACCCTCCGATATGTGGCACAACGTACTCAGAAAATGAAGAGGGCGCGCCACTGCCTGATATAAACACACAAGCAGAAAGAGACTGTCGCAGGGAAAACGTAGCAACAGCAGCAGCAGCCGACGCCGACACACAACAGACCGACTTTGTTGCATCACGTTACAATTTGATCTGTGTGTGCGGATGCTTCTTAATCTTTCTTTCTCTTTCTTCTTTCACTGTCATTCACTTCTTTCACCTCTCTTTTTGGGTGCTAATAATACTGTCACTTGTCGGTTTGGCGGCTGTCTTTTCATTCTCTTCTCTCTCTCTCCCTCTTTTCCGTTCTTGTTGTTTTCCTTTTACTTACTGCTCTTCTTCTTCTTCTAGTCTGCTCAGCTTTTTCTTCTTCTGAGATCACTGTACTCTCTGCGCTCTCATTGCGACATTGCTATTTGTGTTCTGTTATCTATCTGTTTGCCTCTTGTCTTCTCTTCCTTTTTTCTCTCTTTCTTCCTTCTAAACACAAACACTTTGTGACCTTAACATTCACTTTTGCATTTTTTTCCTACCATAAGTACTCAGTATTTATCACACACACTTACACTCGAGTGACTTAACACACACAATATACACACTCACACACACTGATCATCTCATCTCATCCTTGCCAACCACCCGGCAGCCAAAATGGCCCGAAACCATCGGGGTTTTTCGGATCACTTGTTGCCCCTTTTGCTGCGGCTCATCCTTCTGCTCCTTTTTTCTAGTTTTTGCCTCAAATCATGTTCGGTCAGCGCTCAACAGGACCATCAGGGCATCCCCAGCGTCAGTCCGTCACCTTTTCATACTGTCACCTCCAAAGATGCTGATAATCACCCTCATCAACAACAACAACCGAAACTGGATGACGATGAGATGACCGAAGTGAGCCGCCTGCTCGAGGCGGGCGAGTTTACCCTGGAGGGCTTTCCAGACGCCCCTCTGCAGCTGGTCCGACCTGATCACCACCACAAACGACTAGTCATCGTCGAGGAGAATCTCCGCTTGCTGCAAGCAATCAGCCAACCAGTGAGCACCGTTTCAGTAGTGGGCAAGTTTCACTCGGGAAAATCCTACCTGATGAACCAGTTGATGGCCAAATCGGCCGGTTTTGGCATTGGCAGCCAGGTCACTCCGGAGACCATGGGCATCTGGGTTTGGGGAAGAGTAAGTTTGCTTTGCTGTAACTTTGAAGTTGACTTGTTTGTAACTCTTTTTATTTGTTTCATTTTTAGCCACTCAAAATCGAGCACCCCAATGGGCCCTCGCAGTGGGTGCTGCTGCTAGACACGGAGGGCTTTGCCGCAACGAACGTCTCCGAGAACTACGACGCCAAAATCTTCGCCGTCGCAACGTTGCTCAGCGGCCAGCTGCTGTACAACTCGGTGAAGATCATCGACCAGTCGGACATTGACTACCTGGAGCTGCTTGCCCGGCGGACGCAGCTGTTTGCCCTCAAGGCGCAGATGTCCTCTTCAAGCAGTGATAATGGTAATCAGAATGAGGAAACCACCACCACCAACAACGACAAAGATACTACCGTCGAAAACTGGACCGAAGACTTCAGTCCTCAACTGCTGAACTTTCCGTCGCTCATTTGGGTAATCTCGCATTTTCACATTTTTCCAGCTTTTTATGCTTTTCCTAACCTTCCTCATCTTTGTTTCAGGTCATCCAAGACTTTGTGCAAGAGACCGGCGGCGAGCACTGCCGCGACTGGCTCCTCCGATTGCTAACTGACACTCACGCCCGTGAGGCGGACTCCTACTCCATCTCCCTGAAGGACATCTTCCCCTCGGTGGACTGCCACACGTTGTTTATTCCTGCTTCCCGCAAGGCTCACCTCGCCGACCTCTCCCGTGCGACGGAGGCCGATCTGACGCCCGAGTACAGATTGGAGCGTGACGCCCTGGTGGAGAAGGTCAAACGGAGGGTGGCGCCCAAACGGCGGAACGACGGCAAGGCCTACACCGGCGTTGAGCTGGCGGCGTTGCTGCGCGTCCTTGTGACGGCCGCCAACGCCGGCTCTCTGACAGAGATACCCAATCGTTGGGACGCCTTTCTCGAGCAGCTTCAGGTAAGCAGCTAATCACACACACACTACACACTAATTCCTTAACCTTTGCTTTTCAAAACTAACTCTTTTGCTTTCTTTGCAGAAATCCGCCGTTGAGGACTGCTACAAATTCTACCAAGCCCACCTGAACGGCCTCTTTGAATCGGCAAGTGGTGGTGGTGGTGGTGGTAGTGGTGGCAATCGTGGCCAGGCAAACTCCGCTGAACATAATGCTCAAACGAAAAGTTTCGTCGACGCCGTCAGCGAGCGCCGCCTCAGCGCCTGGTCGGCTGTCTCCAAGGAGAAAGCTCTCAGTCTGCTGGGGCACCTTCTTCAGGGCCTGCCCGAGCCACTGGAGCGCAGTCGTCCGGAGTTGACGGACCTCATCGAACGCTACTACGCCGCCGCCGCCGATCTCAATCGCCAGAAGATTCACCTTCGCCTCTTTAACGTGCAGAAGGCGCTGGAGCTGAAGGTGATTGACGAGCTGGCGCTAGTCAGGCTGCCCGTTCTAAGCGCCCAGCTGGTAGAAAAAGCGGACAACCTGACGGAGGTCACCATCGGCGAGTTCACCACCGCAATCGGCGACCTCGTCGAGCCGGCCAATCTGACCTCGTACACTGACGGGCTGCGACGGTCGGTTCGCCTCAATCTCGACTCGACGCTCCTGCGCAACGGCCAGGCGCTGGAGGTCTTCTTTGAGAACATCACTTCAACGCTGCTCAACTCAGAGGCCTTCAACGAGGTGCCCGGCCTGAAAAATGTTGCCGCAGAAAACTCTGCGTTTCCACCGCCGCCTAGGAAAGCCTTTGAGGCGTCGTTGGAGGCCTCAATCAGCCGCTCAGTGGCCGCCTTCACCCGCCGCGTGGATCGTTTTGCCGAGGAGCGCGCTCTCTTTGAGGGAAAGCTGGCCAAGCTGAAGGTGGCTCTACAGGAGAGGGCTGAGGCGTTGAGGGCGGCCAACAGGCAGGCAGTTTCCGCGTACCTGGCCGGAGAGGCGGCCACCGTTCTGGCCGACTTTGACCGCCGCACGGCGACCACCGCCCGGCAGCATTTTCCACTGGACACCGAGGAACTTCGGACGTTGTTGGAGGCGGAGGCGCGGGCCGCCCGGACCGTCTTCAGCGAGGACTACGCGCCCAAGTACGCCGACTACGGGGAGGTGTACGAGGCGGCGGTGTCGGAGCTGGACCGCGGCCTGGAGCTCATCGGCGCCCGTCGACAGGAGGAGAACTTTCGCGCCTTTAAGGCGGAGGTGGAGACGCCGCTGCAGCTGGCCAAACGGTCCATCCTTCTCTCTGGTGACAAGTACGCGACGCTCTTTAGCTTTAAGCGATTCGTAAGTACTTTCCCCTTGATGGGCTTTGTTGTTTTGTTTTTCACATTTCACTAATCTTTTTTTCTAATTTCCCTATCCCCAGGTGATCTCCTCGTGCATGCTGCACCTTGACGATGGCAAGGCGAAGCACTGGCCCGAGCGGCTGAAGCTGCAAATTGTGCAGTCTTTCATGAGAGAGGATGAACAGCTAAGAAGCGAGGTGGAAAGTCGCACCGGCCTCTGGTCACGACTGCTCGGATTTTTCCAGTGGCTGGCCTCGCTGGTTGGCTTCGCCTAAAAAACTGTTTCCATTTGTCGCTCAATTTTTAATTTTTTCTCTTTCTTGTACATTTAAAAGCCAACTGCTGTTAATTTAGTGTGCTTTGTAATAACATTTATTTTACTTTACTTTTTCCAAGCATTTTACTTTTTAGCACTTTTTACTCCTAACACTACAGTACAATACTTTTCACTGGTTGTTGTTCTGTTAGGCAACACGTTCAACAACATATCAGTGTTTTGTTGACTTAGCATTCGCTTTCAACTAAATCCGCGCATTTACTTTGTTATCCTGTCAGTTAGTCTACTTAGTTCTTCTTTTCGCAATTGTTTACAAAAACAATTCAACTGCTGATTAGGCTAAGTTGAAAGAACATAAGTGCAAAGTTAAAACGATTTTATTGAATCTGGTAAATAGAACAAAAACAAATCAACAAAATTATTTTGGTAAAAAAATGCTGGTCATTAATCGCAGTAGAGGAAATTGGTTTAAATGAAGCAAACAAATCATTAGTTTTTCTTTTTTTTGCTACCGGCCAAAAATCAGTTTTTAAGCCGGCAACTAAAAAGCCTACCAGCAATGTGGCCACTGAGGATCCAGCAAATTAAAAACTGCAAATAGTCAAGCTGCTTCTGTTGATCAACGATCCTGTGCAACTGATGGCTGACTTGCCCATCTTCGAAAAGCTGCCCGCCTTGGACAGCTTTGAGCCGGAGCCAGAAATGGCCGACTGGGCTCAGTTGCTGCCACCGGTGCCATTGGATCCGAAGAGATCCGTTCTGTTGGAAAAAAGTGCTCTGGCCACCGATTTTGGAACCACAAGTGTTAGTGTCATCAGTCGGTCATCAGCAAATCGTCTTCTCAAACTTGATTGTTGGGTGTTGCAACAAGGGCATTTTGTGCATTGTCTTGATGAAAACATCCAGGTAGACTTTGAGGTGGCTGCCAATAAGCCAAAAAAATTCGCTTATGGCCGAGCTGGCTACCGATCTTGCGCCACTAATGGCTGACTTGCCCATCGCTAAAAAATTGCTTGCTTTGGACAACTTTGAACCGGCGCCAAAGATGACCGACTTGGCGCAGCTGCTGCCACTGGTGACACAAAGTGGAGCGGGTCGGTTATTGAAACTTTAGAGGTGGTAGAAAGCCAGTTCCGGGCAGTTTTCTTGTTGATGACTTTGAAGTAACTAGAAAGTGCACAGTGAGGTGAGTGATCTTTGATAAAATGTATTAAGGTTTTAAACTAATCATTTTTTGCAGATTTTAAACGCTCTTTTGCGCAATGTCACCAGTCTTCAGGTGCACAACAGCCAGTTAGCTGAACGTCTGAAAAACGAAAAAGTATCCCACAAGCGCCTTCAGTTGTTGCAGTCAAAGCAGTGTCAGGCGCTGTCAGATCAGGTGGAGCACCTCGAGGCAGAGCTGATCGTGGCCACTCGCCACCAAGTGACCTGCTCCATCTGCCTCGATTCGGTGGACGAAATTCTAACGAGCTCCCCAACCACTCCAAAACGGTCTCTGTTGGTCACTTTCTGTGGCCACCTTTTCTGTGACCTGTGTCTGAAGCGGTCAGTAATGGCCACTTGTTGTTATAAACAGCAGCAGCAGCAGCAACTTCAACCGCTGCTAACAATAGCGGAAACAGCTGCTCCAGAGACGGTTGCCACAACTTTTTTAGCAGATGGGGTTTTGCAAATGACCACCGACACTGACGGTCAAATCCCATCCAGAAAGCACCACCAGCACTCTTTTAGCTGTCCTCGATGT